AATATGAATTTAATTATCATTGCATTTATGATCAATCGTGGATTTCCGACGGTGGATGTGGACTTAGACCAATGTTAGTCTTTTGATTGTTTACGTTAATTTAATTTTCATTATTATTGATTACGTTATTTACAATTGTTTGCATACAAAAACCCCCCCAAATCATTGTACAAAACATAAAATATTAAATTACACTCTTCGTGGGATCAACCCTTACTTCTACTACTACATTAGTTTTAGAGGTTAACGTATTACTTTTGGATGTTGCGAAAGCACATATCAACAACTCATTTCACGGTCACATATAATCAAATTAGTTGGTCATAAATAATCAAATTAATTGGTCGAAGTTATTTTCCAATCACAAATCATCGAATTATTTGTTCACATTTTACCAAATTCTCATCAAGATTTGACAATTAGTCATAATCACATATTCTTTTAGGTCACAAATTAATCAATTTATTGGTCACAATACCCAAACAATGGTCACGCTCTTCCTTTCCAATCCACCACCACCACACCAACACCAACACCAACTCACCGTCACCGCCAAGAAGGCCACCACCACTACAAATGTCGCTACATCACCCCCAAACCGCAAAACCACCACTCAGCAACCACATCACCATCACACACCACAACAATTACAAAAAACACCACCACAGAAACCACTAGCCACACAAACTACCATAACTATTGGAGAAATCAAACTCAGAATTTTTTTTTAAAGAAAAGGAAATAGCAGGTCTATGCCAATGTAGATCAACCACTATTAGATTAGAAGCAACGACGATGGGAACGTAGTCGCTGTCGCGCACTAGATCACGATATCGCGACAGACGACAATAACATCTTTCCCCGAATTGTTTTTTCCCAGACTGTACAAATTGTCTTTTGTTTCTATGTGCAATGATGACATCGTCGCAGAGGTGGAGGTACGGTGTGAGAGCCACTGCTACACCGATGTTGTCATTACATTCGAGACTTCGTCAGATATTTCAATGCATCGATATTCGCAGTGGGTAACGATGAGTGCCTAGTACGAATAAGCGCCATTGCTGCACTGTAAATAGTCACCTAAGTGGGTGAGCTGTAAAGAGTCGTCGAAGTGGTTGCACTGTGAAGAGTCACCGGATGTGAACTAAGGAGATGGTGGATTGAAAATGAATTATTGTGTAGGGGTGGATGGGTTTGGTAGGTGGGGGTATGTAAATTTATTTACTTTTATAAT